TGGGAAAAGTGAGTACCAGCTGCCAGCTGACCTTCCCGGAATTGCATAAGTAGGGCCCCTAAGAACTGAAGGGCTGTTCATGGAATCCAACTCTTGTGGGTGGTTTCGTTTTCTGGGTGAACCCGGGTTTCGGCTGATGTCTGCAGGACCTCTACAGTCCGAGTCCCCGGAGAGAGGGCACTGACCGAACGGCAACGGTGACCTGGGCGTGGTAGACCTGGCAGAAATCCGATAAAATCGCCCTAGAGGCCCTAGAGACACCATAACTGACTGGTGCTTAGTAGGGAATGTGGGAATGGATCCAGAGGGGCCTACAGGGGTGGTTCATTACCTCATTCCCTACTAAGCACAAGTCTGATAATCCATCATCGAAATCTGCTGAGAAGATTCAGACCAAGTCACACTGTACCAGCTTGCCGAGTTGGTCCAGCTATCCTGACCTGGACTTCCAGAAACCATCGATCAGGGGTTGGCAGAGATGTCTTCCAACAACAGAGATCCCGACAAAAAAGAACACATCCTCCACTCGCTTTTTTTTGTCGTTGATGGGATAAGTAGAGATTTGTTCAAGTCTAGCTGTCTAGCCATGATATAGGGTGCTTGACGTGTAGCGGAACAAACTCCGGAGGAGTTTCTGTTTGGGCATCCAGTCAACTAAGCGACAAAGTGAGTGATCGAAGAAGTGAGCGCGGTGAGTGCGGTGAGCTATATCTATTGGAGACAGCCTTTTGAGCAATTCCTAACCTATAGCTGTGCCAGATGCTGCAATAAGAGTTTGCCACGGTGTCAGTAAACATTCCGGGAATGCATTTCTGAAGAAGACGATCATCGGGTACGTCGTTCGTTACTGTCATTGAAAGCTGACACAAAACGTACCATCTGTGCATGTATCTTTTCCCAACATCCATGAACATCTCCATCATCTGCCCAGAAAACATCCGTGAAAACAGCCTGACCGGTCCCAACCACCGATACGGGCAGACGGACCCGAACCGCCGAACCCACCGCCGGTCCGACCCCGAGGAGTCCGGTCCGACCCCGAGGAGGACCCAATCGGTGTCACGAACCTTCGGTCTGCACCAAACCTCTTCCGATCCGTCTCATCTTCCTATGTGGCAAGCCGGCTGTCTTTTATTGAAAGCCGCGGTAGGGAGTTTGCAAGCCGTAGGATGCCTCGAACTCCCCTTTCCACCTGATTTCCTCCTCTCCCTCGGCTCCCTCCGCTCCAACGACCCCCGTTCCGATGCACGGCCAGCTGTCCGTGTGGGCGCGGTGAGCGGCCTGGCCATCAGCGAGGACGGCATGATGCTCTACTGGTCGGAGCCACATCGAGCCCCTCAGCCGGCTCTATCGATCGGCTGGTCGTCCGATCCATCGAGATATCTGTGATTTGAACGGCTCAGATTTGGAGAGTGAATCGGATCAGATTGTGGAGCCTGGTGGAGCGGTTTTGGGGGTTTGGAGGGATTTAATCAATTTGGAGAAAAGCTGCACTGGAAGAGGTTGGAGCTCCATGTCCTGCATCGTAGATTCCCTGAAATCAGGGAAGTTCATGGGAAGTGGATGGCGTGGCGAAGGGATGTACCAAACAGGTGGTCTTCCACCTCCATGATTTCCAGGGAGTCGATTGGTGAGAGTAGCTCTTCATTCGAAGGGCGGGATGCCGGTCATGGTGAGCTTGTGTACCCAGTCCACTGTTCCGACGGCTGAGTTCGTTCCCAGATTCCCAAAACTATACGCCGCGGTCGTGCGCAGCGGCGGTCGTGGTCGTGGTCCTAGTGTGGAGGAAAGAGAACAGAACCTCCGTAGCCTTTCCGGGCTCTTTCGTCAAGGAAAGTCGTCTGAAAAAAAGAGGGATGGGTAGCCATCCACTTCCGAACGTGAGTCAGAGGGTAGGCCCGGCTTTGCTGGGAATCAAATGAATCTCAAGGGTGCACCATTTGCTCGGGAGATCGAATACATCCTGCGCCAGGTGTGGTTTCACACCGCAAGACAAGAACAGAGCTGTTCAACAGCTCTTTGGTCGATCCAACTGTAGTATCGGTACTTGTCATAATGTTTGCCATACATGTGGAACTGCTGCCGGGCCACTCACAACAGTGGGTTTCAAGCAAATGTGCGCCAAGCACCCAAGATCAAGCACCAGCAAGGGGTGTTGAGATCATACTTTGCAGGTGACAAGTACCTTGGTGTTTGATTACACAAGCAAGCTCGGTGCTAAAGGCCGAATCCCTCCGTGCCACCACCAACCCTACGGGTGGCTGTTTCTCGCCCAGGTTCGCGAGGCAAATATGGTGAACGGCAGCGTCAGGAGTGGAGGGTGCGCCGGGCAAACCCACTATTCACAAGTGAGGAGATTGATCCATCGGTGGTTACCTTACATTGTGAACATGGACAGACTAAGGGGCATGTTTTGAATAGAATCCGGAAAAATCCCAAGGGTGACAGATGGGAATGCCCAAAACATCGAGCCCCAATGGTTTTCAATGGACTTGAGAATGCAAATATCGCTGATAAGGTGGAGTGGATATACAGACATCAGGAGCTTTGAGAAGGTAGATGGTATGGATAAAACGGCCACTAAGGTTGATGGTATTGATATAACGGCCTTGAGAACGCAACAAATGCCGTAGGTTCCCAACCTACAGACGTCAGGAGCATTGATGAGGTAGATGGTATGGATAAAAC